GGGGGGGGGGGGGGGTGGAATCAAGTGAACTGTGTTTTCCCTTTTTGTTATTCTGCCATGATGAGCTCCCAAATAATACACTTTTTGTTCTCTCTTCAAGGGACCTAGAGGAATGCCAGGAGAAAGAGGTCGAATTGGACCACAGGGTGCCCCTGTAAGCAGGATCTTCCTTCTCTCTCCTTGTAATTCTTCCCTTGTTTTACTTAAATTTAAATCCCTGAGCCTGAAAATGTTTATTCATGTGGTGAATTCTGCTGTAGCTTAAGAAAGTTAAGGCTGAGCAGAGTGTTGTGGGGTGAGACCTTTACTATAAATATCAAAAGTCAAAAAAAGTTTTAAAAGGAGAATGCTAGCTGTATGGTAATTTGTCTTAGCAGAGCTGCCCACGAGGCCAAATACTCTCACAATACTTTTTTCTGTGATACAAAAACATCTTCTTTGTTTCCGTGAAATTTCTCTTGAGAGGCTGTTTTCACCAAAAATTACTGAACTAGAAATAATATGTATTGATTTTGTCTGGAAAAAAGTTTAAAATGAAAATTTAGACTTTCAATTTAAATTAAGTCTTATAATTTAATTCCAGGTAATAAAGCTGTCTTCATAAAAAATATTTTTCTTTTCAGCAAAAAGAGGGATTAGCCTTGATATGAGATCATATTTGAGTAGAAATTTCTTTCTGTTTCTTTACGTCCAGTGTCAAGTATTGTTTTTTCTGGCATTTCTCCCCATGACTTTTATGTGCTCTGTTTATGTTATGTGCTTCATACAATGACACTGTCAAAATATTGGCCTCTCTGAAAATAGAGAAATCCATTTACTTGAAGGGGAGCATAATTTCTTCCAGAAGTTTTCCATGCCAGTGTTTGGAGGGCTCTGCAATCCAGCATTTCTTTGATGGCTTTAGTATGTATGGCTGTTATCACAAATGCTAACAACAAATAAATAAAAAAATTAGTTAGAGTTCTTATAAATATTCTGTCTTGTCTGTTTTTGTATCTAGGGTGGACGTGGCCAGCATGGTATGCCTGGGAAGCCAGGGCCAATGGTAAGTTTCTTTTTTAATCACCTACTTTTTTCATGTTTTAATTTCCACTTGCCTTTTGACACTACCAAAAGAAGTGCAAAAAAATTGCTGGCAGTTGCTGGTAACAGTTAAGTGCATCTGGAATTACCTGTAAGTGATTCCTACTTCTACTCATATAAGCTTTAGTGCTGTCCTCTGAGAAATGATACTCTGTAGTTTGCTTCATCTAAAGGTTTTAATTTGCAGAGGAGTGGCATCTTCCTTGGAGAGGTGATGCTTTGCTGCTTTTATGAAGTGGGATCCATATTGCAGGGACATAAGTGTCTTAAAGCTATGCACTGTAATATAAAACAGTTTATAATTGCATATTATCTTCCTTCACATATGAATTTGGCAAATGAGATTGTACCCATTCTCAGCAAGAAGAAATGCCACTCACTGATAGCAGAACTTGCTACCTGCAACTGATCCATTACAAAACCTGTAGAAGATAGCCTTTTGATTATGGACAGTCACATGTTGAACTGAAGAACCAGAAGCCTATGTGTTGAATGTCTGCCAACTGAGAAAGCCTGGTATGCATGACTGTAGAAATTCTTACACAATTGCAACAGGGCTGAAGATGGCTATGGTGGTTTAAACTGTGGGTGTCGGTGTATCAAAGGGTGATGGTTTCAATCCTACAATCCAATCTCACAGTGCATTTGCAAAATGCATTTGAGTGAATTCACACAAGTATTAGGAAGCCAGTGGGATTATTCACATACATACAGTTAATTATGTGTTGCTTTTGCAAATGAAAGCTTACGATGATTTCATACTATTTGTGCAAGGCCAGTTTCCACTTTAAAAATGTGGTATTCTTTTTTGTTTGCTTTTTTTGAAAGCATTACTTCTAGGATGTGGTTGACCGTTTCTGCCTGTTGATGTAGCCAACCTGAACCTCTACCACTTTGTGACATTCAACTTAAAAAACCCAGACAAAAAAAACCCACTCTAAAAACACCACACCAGAAAAAAACCCTCAAAACCCCTCAAAACCCCAAAACATACCTGCCTGCAATTAAAATTTCATTCTATGCATAGTCTTTAATAATAATATAATAGTGATTTAATAGTGATATAAGTCCTGAGAAATATTAATTTACCTGTGTCATCTTAATGAACAGACTGTTTTATTAAAAACTTCATTAAGAAATAACTCTCTGTTATAGAAGCTCTAAAATGAGTGTGTCTAAAAGCTGCAAAACTCAATTATTTAGTATACCATAAAACAAGGGTAACTTGTTAGAAGAAACTTTCAAACAATGAAAAGATTTTTCAGTATGGAAAACAAATTATAGAAAAAAAAGCTGGGTCCCGAGGTATGAAATTCTACATGAAGCTTGAAATTTTTCTTCGGCATAAAATATGAGCTCAGCTTCATTGGACGTGATAACTGGTTGGCTAACATTTTTGGTAAAATCCCATGTAGTGTCACAAGGGAGATACTGGTACTTATTGCATATGTTTCTCATTGGAGGAAGTGTTCATGAAATGCATCAGTATTTGGGTCAGTGCAGTGGTACACCATAATTCTGGAATTCTCCTTGCAACAAGAGAGAGATTTGGCCGGCATGTATTTGTGATCCAATAAACTGGGACATAGGTTTTCAAAAATATACTTAGTGAGCTGTTACATCAGTTCTGTAGAAATCCAGTGCAAGGTCATGGCAGAAACGTTGTCTGTAATTAATGCTCAGTGGGACAGATTGTTCTTATTAAGTTTGTCAGCAGAGCTTTATTACATAGAACATTTTTTCACAGTATGCATCATATTTTACAAAAAGAGAGAAAATCAGGAAAAGATAAAGAGGAATCATCTGGGAACAGCGCTGTAGTGAATATTTATAACCACTGTGTGCCGCCATCCAAGGAATATATAATACGGTAGAAAGATCTGTTGTTGAATGTCTTGTTCAGCACAAAAGGCACTACGAAAATGGAAACAATTTACAAATTTGCTCTAAAGCCCTTAATTGGAAGTCTTTCTGTTTGGCAAAACAAGGTTTGCGTGATACCATACAGGTACATTCAAGTGTATATACTTGAAGTTTGCTTTCTGGTGAGTTTGGACAGTCTGCCACATAATGGAGCCCCAGCTGTTTGCATCCCTGCCCAACCTTCATGTCCTCGTAGCCACATGAGGTGCACCTACATTCTGCAGTGCAAGGCACCGAGAATTTGGCTCTAGAAGCAGAAATAATGTAGCCATATCAATACTACGGTCTGCTCAAGCTGTCAGCCCTTCTTAGATACAGCATTGACTATCTCAAGATACAATGCTATTTGGGAAGAGCTATACTGGTTTTGGGAGCTGAAGATGTATCTCTGCACAGCATTGTGTTTCGTGGTGTGGCATAACCCAGCCTTTCCTCCACTTCCTTTTCCAGAAACGCCTGCCTATCTCTGAACAAAGATCCAAGCAGTAAACTGTCTTTGCTGTGTGTCTTTGTCTGTATGGCCTTGAAAATTTGATACAAAATCTGTGTTTTCAAGCTCGCCAATGAATTTGGCTGTGAATTTGGGAATCTCAGTGGGGCAGAAGAGTAGGAAACAGGGCATGTGGTTGCATAGCCTTTAATTATATTTTCGCTTGTCATGTTGCTTACCTCAAAAATCTTGTCTAGCAACCCAATTGTTTCGATGTAGATGTAGCTTGTGTTCCTCTTTTTCCTAGATTACTATTTTAAGTTTAAAAGAATGGAAACTCTCCTTTGCTACATTCTGTAGGACAAATTGTGATCACTTAACAAATGTCTGATCTTTTCATTACCATACCACAGTAGCATAGATATAAAAAGAGGATATAATATTTTGTTAAAAAAATTGCAAAACGATTGCTGTAGTAATTGTTAGCTGTGTACTTTGCAATTTGTGTGTTAAAAGCTGAATCAAGACCTGAACTTTGCTGAAGTCAGTAAATACATTATTAAAATACTGCACTGGAGTTCCATAAAATGTATGTGTATCACTTAGAAAAATTATATTTATAGTTATTTTGGTTTTGTTATGAACAAATGTTTTATGACTGAAAAAATACACTTAATCCCAGAACCATATTTACCCAGTGATTAACAGTAATCTGTGTGATCTAAACTGCAGAATTACAGCTTTGTGTGTCTGTCTTTTATAGGGCCCACTTGGCATAACTGGTTCTCCAGGTTTTCCAGGTGCTCCTGGTGTAAAGGTAAAAATCAAAATAAAAATATCTTTCTTAATAGGTCTAACAACACAGAATTAAAAAATGTGTACTAGACTACACAGAGTTCAGACTGACATGTATACAGGTCCCTAAGAGTTGTTGTGAAATCAGTCTTAGTCAAGACCTTGAGACAGAAGATAGAAATCAGAAGCCAAATGAAGCAATGGCAATTCACCACAGTTAGGATACTTTCTTTGCTTTCACTTTTGCTTGAGCTAAGGGGTGCTTATAAGATGACTGTCATGCTGTGCCTCAGGAATCTTGTCCAGTATATTCAAAGAGTAACAAGACACATTATTACAAGTTAAGTTGCCAGAACTAGTCCAAGACAGTATGGAAGCAGTACCTTCTAGTGCTGAAAATTCCAGTTTCGGCCAAGAACACTTTTTGAGATGACCTAGACTGGTAAGACAAATGCCTGAACCCCAACAGGGATGTACCGCAGTTCATCACAATAGAGCAAATGATGATTACCACCTTTTGTGGCTCTGTGTGATTGGGCTGAAATGGGAAGCTTTCATTGGCTGCAGTGCTGTCTTTGTGGGACTTTCCTCTCTTGTTTTTCAAGAAAGTACTCAATCTTTTTTTTCCTAGCCTTGAGAATATGTCTGTAAATATAGAAAAGACAACTCATACAGCTTCCTCATGCTTCTTATACTTGCCCTCCACCCAGTTGCTCCTCTTTGTTTCTTTACACTCCTAAAACATGATAGGAAGAAATTATACAAGAAGAAACTCTCAGTTAGTCAGGTAGCCAAGTTCAACAGATGTTTTGAGTTGTTGTGAAGCTGGCAACATTCACAAAACAGTTTTTTGGAAACAAGTCTTAATAAGAGTATTAGCATAATGTATAGAATTAAATGATAGACCTTTTAGTGCATGTCATGAAGTGTTTTGGTATGGCTAAGCGCTACTTAATACCTAAAGAAATGTTTGGAGAAGCTGTCACATGATGAATCAAAGAAAGCTTTTCAAAAGGAGGAGCTACCTTCAAGTTTGATCATCAGATGATGTAAAATTGGAATAGCTGCTTGGAACTCATAAAGCTAACCAGACTATACAATGAAGATGTGGACTTCAGTTATTAAGACATGTAGCGTTAACAGCTCAATGTCCAAATGGAGACTGGTGACAAGTGGTGTCCCTCAGGGGTCCGTACTGGGACCAGTGCTGTTTAATATCTTCATCAATGACATAGACAGTGGGATTGAATGCACCCTCAGCAAGTTTGCAGATGACACCAAACTGAGTGGTGCATTTAACACACCAGAAGGACGAGACATCATCCAAAGGGACCTGGACAAGCTGGGGAGGTGGGCCTGTGTGAGCCTTGTTAGGTTCAACAAGGCCAAGTGCAAGGTCCTGCACCTGGGACAGGGCAACCCCCAATATCAATACAGGCTGGGGGATGAAGGGATTGAGAGCAGCCCTGTGGAGAAGGACTTGGGGGTACTGGTGGATGAAAAGCTGGACATGAGCCAACAGTGTGCTCTTGCAGCTCAGAAGGCCAACCGTATCCTGGGCTGCATCCAAAGAAGCGTGGCCAGCAGGTCGAGGGAGGTGATTCTGCCCCTCTACTCTGCTCTGCTCTGGTGAGACCTCACCTGGAGTACTGCGTCCAGCTCTGGGGCCCTCAGCACAAGAAGGACATGGACCTGTTGGAGCGGGTCCAGAAGAGGGCCACAAAAATGATCCGAGGGCTGGAACACCTCTCCTGTGAGGCCAGGCTGAGAGAGTTGGGGTTGTTCAGCCTGGAGAAGAGAAGGCTGCGGGAAGACCTTATTGCAGCCTTTCAGTACTTAAAGGGGGCCTACAGGAAAGATGGGGAGAATCTTTTTAGCAAGGCCTGTTGTGACAGGACAAGGAGTAATGTTTTAAACTAAAGGAGGGTAGATTTAGACTGGATATAAGGAAGAAATTTTTTGCCATGAGGGTGGTGAAGCACTGGAGCAGGTTGCCCAGAGAGGTAGTGGAGGCCCCATCCCTGGCAACATTCAAGGTCAGGTTGGATGGGGCTCTGAGCAACCTGATCTGGTTAAAGCTGTCCCTGCTCCCTGCAGGGGGGTTGGGCTGGATGACCTCTAAAGGTCCCTTCCAACCCAAAGCATTCTATGATTCTGAGACTATCTAAAATATTTGATCTGATTTGGGGCACTGGATATAGTGCTGCTTCTCTGTAGAAAGTTTGTTTGTCCTTGTATACACTGAGGAAAAATTCTGTTTGTACTTCTAAAGTTTACATTCACATAGAAGTAGTAGAAGCAGAATTAGGTAAGCAAAAATAGATCTTAAGGATAATAAACTATTTCAAAACCTGAATTGTTTTTCTCTTATAAACTCAGTATTCCTCCTTAGTTACTTTGTAGCACTACTTTTTAGGGCAAAATAATCTCCAGTTGTTTTCTCATGTAAAATCTTAGGGTGAAGCAGGTCCAACAGGTCCTCGTGGTCCTGAAGGTCCTCAAGGACAAAGAGGTGAAACAGGTCCACAGGGCCCAGCTGGATCCCAAGGTCTTCCTGTAAGTACATTAAATTGAATTCCTCAGTGCTCAGCTTGGGCAAGTTGCCCGTTTATAGGGAATTTTAATAACCCAGTTGATAAACACTGAGTTTTGCTCAAATCAGTTTTTTCCCAGGAAAGGAAATGTCTCATTCATTTGTTTTGTGCTTATTTTGTTGAAAATAACTTTTCATTGTTTAAGTAAAACAACTTGGAAAACTGAAAGTTATGCAGCTTGATACAGTCTCAATTCTAGAAGTAAAGCCTAAGCTTGAACATAAGATCTTAAAGATTAAAAATCACATTAACTTTCATGCTTTGTTACCCATATTAGCATTTGCACAAGTAGATCATATGTTGCTGTGTTTATTTAATAGCTTTTATTGTCCGGTCTTGCAAAGTGGATAAAATAACTATCTTCTGCTTTTCTTGTGGATACCCTCCTCACTAAAATTAATTTTAATGATTGGTACATTATCTTTAGGGTACTGAAGGGACAGATGGTTCCCCAGGTGCTAAGGGCCCTACTGTAAGTAATCATATCACCTGTTGAAGAAATTGTGTAAGTGAATTTGTTTTATTTCCTTATTTTTATTATGTTTCCTTACTGTGCTTGCTGTTCTTTCTATTCATAGGGATCTCCAGGCACTGGAGGCCCCCCTGGTTTATCAGGTCCACCCGGTTCCCCAGGACCACAGGGCAGTACTGGCCCACCTGGTATTCGAGGCCAACCGGTAATGATGTCTTTGTCTCTGTGGAAATTGTAATGTCTTGCAAATTTGGCACTCTATGAAACTAAGACAGTGATTAACAGTAGGGTTCCTTTAAATAAGTTAACAGCATGCTAGTGAGTATGCTGTGACTCAGATCTTGTGAATCTTCCGTGAGTTCAAAATACTGTTTTTGCTTGCTTAAAGGTCTAAGAAGGAAGAGTGTCTGTATAAACTTGGACAAACAGTAGCAGTTACCTCCTGAAATCGTCTCATTTAAGTTTTTGTCTTGATAACATCATAATAAACAAACATGCTAAGGGGAAAGACAAACCATTATAAGCATCCTATTATATTGCCTACAACTAGTTACTAAACTAGGAAATGTTTCATAGCATAATACAAAATAGTCAAATGTTTTACACAGTTTTAACCTTATGGTTGTTATTCATGTTTTTGTTTTCAGGGAGACCCTGGTGTCCCAGGTTTCAAGGGAGAAGCAGGACCCAAAGGTGAACCTGTAAGTCTCCATATGCTTTGTAAGATGAACAGGAATCACAAAGGCTTGTATGAGTATTTTGAATAGATTCTTACAGTTTTCAAGACAGTTCTGATGCTCGTAATCATGAGACTCATTATTGTGGAAGACAAACCACAGTGAACCTGGCTAGACAGTACTAACAATGAATGGCGAAGCAGGTCCCTTGGTATAAATCACCTACCCAGTATAGGCCTTACAGGACTCAAGGACAGAAAAAACAATTAGTGTGTCTACTGAGGTTTCTGTAGCACACAGAAGGAGTGTATTCTAATTTCTTTGTCTTATATGAAATAGATCCATATGATTCTGGACATTTAAGAGCACACAGATCTGTGTGCTAATCATAATAAAAAAGCCCTTTTTATTTTAAACTTACATTTAATACATTTTATACTTATGCAGTTATGTATATATTAATATATTTTATTTAT